AGAAAGCCTGCATGAATATAGATAATGACAGTAAATGTAATAAGAAGAAACTTGTCCCCCAAAAATGTTAGGTGACTTGTATGATTCTCCTTCTAGACAACAACGTGGGGACAATATAAAATAAAGGTGGACAAGAGATCCTTGGATCTTGTGAGTAAAAGAAATATGTTGAATAATGGAATCAGTGGACAAGACAAGTTTTGTATATTCTTTGTAGTCAACCTTTACAATATGTTCTTATCCCAAAAGTGAAGATCCCCCTTTTTGTTATTTATGTCTTCCTATTTATAGGGGATATTCTTAAGAAACCCTAAAAAGTACAACAGAAAGAATATCCAATGGAATATTCCTTCTTTCTATTCTAAAATTATTCTAATGTTGCTTCTGTACATTCTTTACTTGACCTCAGCACTAATCCTTCTTAAGACGACTCCTCGCCATTGTGCCGTGATCGGCTTAATCCTCGACCACGTCCATTTGCAGTAATTAAGTGTAGTCCAAATTTCGACCAATACACCCCCTCCACTCCTTGTGATAATGGAGCTGGAATTACTTTAAAATGTTTATAATTTTTCAGTCATATAGACATCGCAGAATTCAGTAGGTGTATTTATTGAGTATTATATGTGACTATTAACCATGTATGTACATGTGTATTCGAATATATTTGGTAATTGTCTGGTTAATATAAAGTTAGGTTAACTAACTTAAGAGTGCACAATGTATATGCATTTGATTAAAACGAAGTTAAATTCGAAAATGCAAAGTTTTCAAGGAACATCGACTTCTATCACTAATACTTGCAAAGTCTATGTACCTTTGGTGCAACGAATTCATTAAATTTATGGTGTTGTAAATACTTTTGAAATTTAAACAAGCTACCTAATTTAGATTCTTCAATTTAATTTACTTTGTTTACTAATCACTGTATTATTTTACTATGTCTTTCTCTTTTTTTCTTTTTCTAATTAAGAAAGAAGGTAAATGCCAACTATTTTGAAAATAGTGGATCAAGAAGAAGAATAAGTGACTTAACTAAAATAATTTAAGAGATTTTGGATCACCTGACATATTAAGGGAGAACCTTTAAAAGTAATTTTTGCTGAATAGTACTGAGGGAGAACCTTTAAAAGTAATTTTGGCCGAATAGTATTGATAGTAATTAAATTTGGCCGAATAGTATAATATGTTAAATGTAGTTTGACAGTAGAGACGTAAATTTTGACATTTACGTTAAATGAGATGTACAGCGAGATTTTATAATGACAAAAGAGCCCCTTGCTGATGAGCAGAAAAAAAACGCAATATTTTAATACCTCTGTCGAATTGATCCTCCAGATATTTTCTTCTCTCTCCTCCCTTCTTCTACCAAATTCATTCATTCACAAATGCCACTGCGTCCAGAATGAGGTCATTCCTTGCTGTTTGTGTGTTCAACTAAAGCTCTTCTCTCGGGCACGACGTCGACGACAGGTACGGTCGTAACTTACATGCATTACGCAACAGCGATCTTTCATTTTTCTTGCTATTGAATCTTCTTAATTTTTGTTTCTTCGTATGGGTGCTGAATTTCTTGCTTCGTGACACGTTAACAAGCCCTCTTAGACAATCTATTTTCCTTCCTGCCTTTAGGGGTGTAGTCGGATCGGTTGTTTTTTTTTTCATTTTTTTCATGCTGGAGTATAATTATTGTTTTGAAGATGGCACCTGTTGTTGCAAGTTGAGATCTTTTTGTAGATGCAAGTCGTTTTTAGACAAAAAAGTCTATTTGTTTTGTTCTTGGATCCTAGTCATTAATTGTTGGAATACCAGCAGCAAGACCAAACATCATGTTCTTTTACTTCATTTTTTAATTCACTGGGTAAATGCGGTATGCTTTGTGCACCGGGCTGCTCCTTTAATATATCTGATTCTGAATTAAAATCAGGGAGTGGTCCAATAGTTTGCCTTCTTCTACTGAATAGGATTCATTTGCTAATACATGTTGAACCAAAAGAAACTTAAAGAAGCTGAGATGTCATTTCTTTTCGTTTAATTGTAGTGCTTATTGCTTTATATGCTTTCTAGACTGTTGACCTTCAGCTAGGTTTCAGGATTATCAGCTTTTCTGCTCTTTACAGGAGTTATGTTAGGATGCAAATGAGTTCAGGAATATTATATATCTTGTGGAAAGCTCGGATATTCAACAATGATTGACAATTTTGTTGTTCTTGAGACCGTGAGCATGTCATGTTTGTGCATATAGTTACTGATGTATTTTAAGTTTTTTTCTATAGATTTATTGTCCCATGTTCCACATCATGGTATTAACATTGTCATTCTTTTCTAGCTTATCATGTTGAAGATATAAATTGCCTATCGGCTATTACTATATTTGCATACATTGGCCAGTTAGATTATCATTGAAGTCCAATTATAAATTTGGAAAACTATAGGACCTAAAGGAGGTGACGTATTGCACAGAAAATACATGATATATGCATAACTGAATGATTAATCACTCCTCTAAAGTCAAAAGACTTTGGGAAACTTATTTATCAACCACATTAAGCAATTATAACTAGTGAATAACCTTTAAAAACTACCAACACATGTAGCAAGTACCCGCCAATATTAATTGATTTATCAAGTTCCTTCTTAATCTTGATTAATGTGTTGGTGAGGAGGCCAACTATAGAGTTTTGCTTGTTTTCTCAATTTAATTAGGTGGTTAACATATCATGCAACTATAATGTGCAGTGAGCTGGTTTTGTTATTATGGTGGAGAAGAACAAGACTAGTTAGCTGAAAGTGTACTTCAAATAGTCTTATAATTGGAGTTAGAGGTTTTGGAAGTGGTGGATGTTTGTCAAGTCCAAATTTAAATGAGTTCCAGATTTCTTTCAAGTGGATCAGATTGGGTGGTTTAAGCGGAGTTTAGGTCTACGAAAAGGTCACTTTATCACTGCTTCACACTCTTGCTTGAACATGAATCTTGAGGGCACCATCATGGCCAATTACTTTGGGCTTCGTGAGTGGTCCTTTGCCTGAGCATTGAAAGGATGAGCTGTGGGTTTGTGTCCAGTGAATGGTAAAATATACTTGGCTCATACAACGTATAAGCATGAAGATTAACAGTTAAGAATAAACTGGTTTTATCGAAAAGAAATGTGGGTGGAAAACACTTTGGTGGCTAGGAAAACCCTAAATTCTCTTGCTCACAACTCTTTCATCCTTTTTCCATTGACTTTTTCTTACTTCAATCTCAAGGCATTGTCGCCTTGGATTCCGAGATGGCTTCTTTTATCACCAAACCTGAGATATGCAGGCTATAGACAAGGTGGAAGGTGGGCTTAAAAGAGAGGTAGCTAAATGGCAAATTCTCTCGTTTGGTGGCAAATGTTGTCACTTCTCTTGTTTTAGGTTTAGCATATAACAAAATAGTACATTTATTTGACCTCTTTACACTTATTTTCTCGTAATAGAAACATATTCCAAATTTGATTTGTCAGAAAAGGCATTCTTGGAATCTGAGAAATCATGTGTAATTTTATGAGATGCTTAAATATTGACTAAATTAGGACCTGTGTTTTTTTTCTATTTCTTATTCTAAACCAATTTGAGGTCAGAGCTTTTCCAAATTTGGCGTATTCCTTTTGCGGAAGTCTCAATTCTCAATTCTCAATTCTCAATTTGCAGGGCAACTTTGGGATGAGAGAACTTGCACCAACTGCCATTGGTCCTATTATATATTGTATAGATGTCCCAAAAGGTAAAACCTCCTTTGCTGGTGATCCTTTTCTTTGTATTTAATCACAACTTTGTTTTAGATTTACCTTTTGCTGTGGAGTTGCATTTACTAATGAAATTCATAGGATTTCTTTTCCTGTTCTTTTCCTTCTCTTTTTCTTCCTCCTAGGTGAACTGAAAATTTTGATAAATTCTCTTTGTAATTGCATTCAACTCCCAGCCTAAGTTTCTGTTAGCCAAATGTAGCAACTTTGCATGTAGCTGTTTAGTGAATAGTGATAGCCAATTTTCACTGCAGGCTTAAGGCTCTGTTAGCTAAAGTAGAAACATGTCTAAGCTTATTGTTTGTTTCTACTCTTTCAAAGTTTATTCTACTGTAGAGTCATGTCTGGAGTTAAAATTACTGCTCTTCTTAGTCTGAATTGGCTGATATAAAAAGGTGTGTGATGAATTAGTATATTTTGTCCGACTTCCCAATTTAACAGGGTTCAGAGGTTCTTAAAGCTTCATGTGCTTAATTATGTGTGAATTTGATGCATTGCATGTAGGCACTGTCAGTCCTTATCACAATTGAAACATGTTAATGAATACTTATGGAATGGACCTAATGTTAATATTCCTTTGTCATTTTTTTGTGTTTTCAGCAATATTTTCCTATTTCACTTAGTTTGACAGAAAAAATTAGGTTAACTGATAGGATTTTGGCAATTGCAGTAGTTGTGGTAACCTCTATGTAATAATTTGCAAGGTAGTGCATTACTAGTATCTTAAAGCCTTTTCTGTTTGAACTTTGATCATTGCCTTAATTAAGCCATAAGATGAGCATTCTCACAAATAAATTGATAACCTTCCTATTATCAAATTCAAAATTTCCTCTAGCCTCATTATCTTAAGGGACTCTCGAGTATCGATGTAAAAGTTAGCCTTGGAACCCAAAAAAGGTTTTCTCTGAGCTTGATGCATCCCCGTACAGTTCCATGAGATCATATCTTATTTTGAGTCATCCTGGATAGGAGGCACTAATCACAGGCTCATTTAACGTGTACTGAAGCAAACCCTGATATGTGATAATTTCCACAATTTTATTCTTAGTTTAAGTTAACATTACTTTACATAGATAATTTCTGCATGTTTACAGCAATCAATAATCACAAAACTATCCAATATCTAGGCAGAGCTGAATGTGCACTCAGGCTTGATGAACTTCTTTCTTCTAGCTTGATCAAGAATGGGATTCACAGAAGTATCTCTTAGCTATAGGGCTAGTTGAGAAAACAGAGAGCTGTCAGTCTTCTGTCTAATGCAGTTGTAACCTGTTTTGAATGTTATAGTGGCAGAATTAGTGTCACATTTTCTCTCTTGCCCTCTGTGGAGAGAGGCTAGAGACTGAAGGATAATTCTTCTGATAGAGAATTTACCCAAGCTGCATGATGCTTGTTGATGTCTCACTCTTCTGTGTTTGTGGCTGGCTTAGCTGGAGACTAATTGGTGCATGTACATCATATCCATTGCTGATTGCATGTGTGTCCTGAACACCCCCATTTGGTTCACTTCCAAATCCTTGTTCAGAAACCTGGAATAGGTAACTTCTCCTTTAGATAAGGTCAAGGATATCTATGCTTGTGGTAGAAGACTAAAATGTAAAATCAAAATTTTATGGTACATCTTGAAACAACAAGTGGAGGCAATATTCTCTAAATTAATACCTTTTTCTTCAATTCTGTATTCTCTTGTCGGATGAGGTTTACCTTTTTATAGAGTTCTATATTTTCTTGATGAATAAGATTGCCCTGCAGAAGCAGTATTAATCATCCGGGTACCAAAATTTAAAGACAAGAGAATATGGGAAGTTGTGATATTTTTTCTAGTAGAACCTTTTGATTTAGTTCTCTGATTTCATCAGTCAAAATCTGCTCCTGCAAGAAAAAGTAATATATTCAGGATAAGTCGTAGTCTATATAAACATAAGTTTCATGACCACAAAAGAATTTTAAAAGTGTGGATTTTACCTTTTGCTTTCGAACGCCTTTCAAACTCATTTCAAGTTGGTTTTCAAGATTTGTTAGATCTTTGATTCCGAGTCCAGAAAGTTCTTCCCCCAGAAGCTGCCTGTTGTTCATAAAAGAAAGGGATTAGTTAAAATATTTCTCCCTTAGCAGCTTAGCTTACTAAGCTAGATCTCAGACATTGAAATATACACGTTTTATTGTTATTTGATTGCATGTTAAGCATGCCGACAAGCTCGGATACGTTGCTACAGAAGGGGATGTTCATCTTAATATTTTTTATAGTTATTCTTCTCTCCTCCAAGAGTTGTTCACAGAAAAACATGGAAGAAAACAAACAATCTAAAAAAAGAAAAACATGGAGAAAACATTGCAAATTCAAATCGTGGTCCGTGGATGTCTTTTTTCGTTAGTAATCCTTAGATTTTTTTAAAATTTTGTTTTTGGGCACTTTGCAAGTTCTTTCTGGATCGACTTAACTTTTTGATATTTGAGTTTGACTAGGTTTTTGGCTTTTTAGTTAAATTTTGGTGTCTACATTTATTGTTATAGTTCTTCTTGTTACTAGCAATCAATCGCTAGCAACTTCAGCAGTACAAAATTATTTTACTCGGTTCAGAGGGCACTTCTAACTTTAGTTGTGCCAAGAGATGCTAGGAGTGTATCTTATAACCTCCAAATTAAATAATCATGGCATCTTTGTGTTGTTCTGTTTTCCCAGTCTTTGCTCTAAACCATAAATTTGACCATAAGCTTCAAGAAACCTGAATTACTCTAATGCTTGTGAGAAATGAACCTTAAATCAAAATCAGTATGCAGCATCTTTTTCCTTTTTTGTTCCATTTTCCAATCTTTTATTGGCCCCAAGTGTAAAGACTATGATAAGAAGAAGCTTTGAGAAACCTGTCACCTTACTCAAAAAAAGGAAAAAGAAAAAAAAGAAGCTTTGAGAAACCTTAAACTGTTTCAAACACTAGAAAAGAGCCCCTAAAAGTCCTTGCATATTCAACTGAAAACACCAGCAACAGCTGGGGATAAGTAGGTGTAGATTACTGTATAAAAATATTCGATTGGTGAAAATATCATAGCTATTTTCTCGGAAACATGATAAAGAAATTTTGATGATGTTTTAGAAATTCTGGTTAATTACCCAAAATGGCATTTATTTGTGTATGAAGTAAAAGTAATAATGGATTTGATTGTTGATTGGATTTGTCAAGTGCTCGTATTACTTAAACTTTATCTACAATAAAAGTTTTAACTTTTTTATGCATGAAAACTTATAAGAACATAAAGTAAGCAAAAAAAAAAAAAAAAAGAATCAACAATCTATCTTGGAGAACTAGAATAAATAAATAAATGTTTGCTCTCTAACAGTTAACTCAGGCGAGTTAGTTTTGACAATTCACAATCCCGAATTCGAGTCTCATTGCTATCTTTCATGGAATGATTTGTTATGTACTTGGTCCACTAGACAAAAAAAAGCTGACACGTGAGGGTCGTGTTAAGATATAATTAGAAAATGTGTCCACTATAATAATTTTCACATAAGTCAACAGATTAAAAGGTATCGAATTGCTCAATTTATAGTGTATAAAGGTATCACATTGTTCAATCTAGTGTGTACAATAAAAGATCCTGTGGCATAGAGAGGCATGTAAAAGATATACCTTGTCAAATCAATTTACCTGTGATTTTCTTGCAAGTAATGCAGTTGTTGCCTCAAACTTGCTACTTCCCTTTGCCAAAACTAGCCAAAACCAAGAAAAGAAAGAAAAATAAGAAAAAGAAAAAAGTATAGTGCTTAGAAGATGAAATTAGAAGGCTTAATAATTCCTGAGATGAAATCAGGTAGATATTGCTTTGATCTTTCTTTGTAGTGCTTGATGATTATTGCAACCCATGATAAATTCAACCATTCAAGAAAAGTACTTTAGGATGATGAGAGCCACATTTTAGATGTAGAACGTTCTTAGTTCTGATTCAACTATGATTCAATCTAAAATTAGACGGGCTCAATTATATCTACGTAGCATTTTTTCGTAACTTAGAAGTTTATAGAAAGCAAATACATTCATCTCAATTTGGATCTTGATCATTCATCTTTGCGACACTCATCTTGTGGATACTTAGAGCATTTAGAGGCCTACATTTACTCCCATGTATGTAATATTGCTGGTCTTACAATCGTTTTATAGAATTTGCATTTCACTTTGGTAGGTATCCTTCTATTACATAATACTCCGGTAGCAAATGTCCACTTGAACCACTCTATTTTGATCCGATGTGTAACATCCCCATCTATTGTGCCGTTCTCTTGGAACATCAAGCATAGATATATGAATTGGTTGCATTTAAACCTTGCAATCTCGTTTGGTCTCACCTCAACTTCACTCTTCTTATGCGGGTTAAACTTGTAATGCATGTCTTAATTTTACTTATCCTAAAACTTTTACTCTTTAGAGTGCGTATCAGAAGTTCAAGTTTTGGTTGATATCCTTGATGGTTTCGTCAATTAGCACTATGTCGTTTGCAAATAGCATGTGCAATGGAACCTCAATCTGTATAGTGTGAGTTAGCGCATCCATAAGTAGGGTAAACATGGCTCAATGCCTATTCTTGGTATAAACACATGGTTATGGGAAACTCTTTGTATCTCCTACTACTGCTCTCACACTAGTGACGACTATTTCATATATCATTTATGACATTATATATTTAATATGAGTTCCTTTCTTCTCCATCACCCACCAGAAACTTTTCTTGGCACTCTTATCATTCACTTTCTCTAAGTCAATAACACTATGTCTAGATTCTTCATCTGGCAATAAATATTCACGAATCTTCTTAGCATATAACCTTCATTGTATATCTAGCCAAAAATGGTTCTACATTACTTTTATTGTGTCCCAAAGTCTATGCTCTATCGCTCTTTTCCAAAATTTCATAGCACGCTTCATGCTTTTAATACCACGATAGTTTGCAAATGTTAGGGATGGGTGGAGGGAGGAGGAAATGATGTTGTGGAAGGAAAGAAGAAGGATCCTGTTAAGGAGAGGGGAAAATAATTTGGTTCCCAAGCAGGGGCGGATCTATGTAATGAATTGGGGGTGGTACGCCACCCGGTCTCTTGGGTAAAATCTTATATATGTACTAGTATTTTCCTCAAAATATTAACATAATTAACGGGTGGCAACCCAAGTCACAAAATGACTGTAGGTGCCACGGTAAAACAACTGAAACCCCACATACAAGGCCTAGGATTGAGACTCTCTAGGTTGTGGTCCTAGTTGTTCTCTTGTTACTTTTTTCCATTTTCTTTCTTTCTTTATGCTCCTTTTCTTAATTTCTTTTAAATTCTTCATCTTATTTATTCACTTTTGTACAATCCCATTTTTATTATTTATTTAAATTGTATATTTGCTTCCTTTGTATTTTTTTAGATCTTCAAATTTATTTGAATGTGATTTTAATCATTTTCTTTTTTCATCATCTAGTGTTATTTATTAATTTTAGAAAAAATTTAGAGTGATGCATCAAAGACGTAGTATTAATCGTGGTGTATTTCCTAATTTAAAATTCTATTTTTATTTTGTATTTTTTAATCACATTATCCGAATAGAATTTGAATCGAGAGAATTAGACCGAATTAGACAAAACTTATTCGGTTTTTTTTAATCACAAATTCATTTATGCACAAAAAATCTTCTAAATTGAATTGAAGTTATTCAAAATGGACCGAACCGAATTAATCCAAAACGGATCGAATCAACTAAATGTACATCCAAAATTCAATCTTGTCACTAGTGGTCGGTTCGCATTACAAGCAGTGGCACCCGCAGCCGTAGCCTTCAAATCCAGGATCCGCCTCTGTTCCCGAGGGGCGAGGGTTGAAATTGCAGAGTGGGAAAGGTTGGGGGAAAAAGGTGCATGAGGACGGTCAAGGACTGACGTGGGGGTGGGTGGGTTGGGGAAAGCAAAAGTTGGACCTGGAAGAAAGGATTAAGAGGGGGAGATTGAGGAAAAGAAATGAGAGGGGCTTGTCCTCTATTTTTAGATGAACCTTTTGCCTCTTATACTAACTGCTGACCTAGATTAAAGATTAATAGTTATCTGCTGATCAGTTTTTCTCTTAAGATTACTATTAACGTACCTAGCTAAAAATTGGGGGAGGTAAACCTTATCAGGTGAACAGTCTGTGTAAGAATGACTCCTAATCTTCAGGAAGCAAGAAAGAAACCTCTGTTACAATTGCTCAACATGCTTTAAGAATTAGCTTCTCACAAAACTTACATATGCATTCTTGGTCTTTCAGCACCTTAGACATTTGGGATGTTTGGTCAACTAATCATCTATTGGGGACCTGTGATTATCACGGGTAATTAGGAAGTTTACTGCCCTAGGAATGACTATGTGTAATAATGAGCGATGAATTATATAGAATGAGAGGAGGTTTTCCCTTCTTATTTGCATGCTAGGGGCATTTGCTATTTGTCCTACGTGAGTACCAGCCTAATTAATAATCTTGTCCTCACTGGATTGAGTTAATTAATCTTGTCGAGAATAAGTCCATACGAAGTTACATATCCTATCATCTGCGCAATCCATGTACCAAGTGGACCCTGGTCTTCAGGGAGAAAGAAGCATTTATTACAATTGCTGAGCCTGGTTGTAGAAATAATCTCTTAGCCAGCAACTCCATCTGCATCGTTGTGCGTCAGCACTTTAGACAGTTGGATCTCTGAGATTTTAATTAAGCATCTCTTCGACCTGTAGTCTCCCTGCTCAATTTTCTAATTAGGAAACTTGACACCCTTTTTTTGAACAGGTAAAATGGAACTTGACACCCTTGTTTGATCATAGAGATCAACTAGCGGTAAACGATGTATGGCAAATATGTATCGTGTCTCAGTTTTTCCATAGCAATAAGAAACAAACTCTTTAGCGATGAATGACGGAAACACACATTGGTTGGGGTTGATATTGCCTTTCAGGCTGGAAGGATAAACTTTTATCATTGACAATTTAATGACGGAATTCGTAGTGAGATTGAAGTCCTGGAAGAATATAGAGAACTCCTGTGGATGGATTATGAACTTTATATGTATGTGAACATTTTCATTTGTGTTCATGTCCTTTTACTCTCAGGTTATCCTCCTCAGATGGTCAAGGGTGTTTTTTTTCCAACCGGAATGACTGCTTCAGGAATCATTTTTTTTTTTTTTTTGATTTGCACCGGGTGTCCGAGTCTTTAAGAGCCCCGACTAATCCCGGGGGTGCACAGGCCCTCGGCAAGGAGTTTCCCGCAAGTGCACCACGGTTAATTCAAGTTTTATCCAGTCCGATGGCCCTCAGAAATTTTTTGCACCCAGTGGGTTTCGAACTTGAGACCTTGAAAGGGAGCAAACCCCAAGGCTCAAGTCTAACTGCTTCAGGAATCATTGCAAGATTTTCCTCACGCCCTTGCTTGTCTCCAGCCTTAGAAAACTATGAATCCATATTCCATGGTATGTTTTGATTAATCATGCCCTTGGTCATTGACATATATGATTTGATTAATCATGCCCCGAGTCTTTAAGAGCCCCGACTAATCCCGGGGGTGCACAGGCCCTCGGCAAGGAGTTTCCCGCAAGTGCACCACGGTTAATTCAGGTTTTATCCAGTCCGATGGCCCTCAGAAATTTTTTGCACCCAGTGGGTTTCGAACTTGAGACCTTGAAAGGGAGCAAACCCCAAGGCTCAAGTCTAACTGCTTCAGGAATCATTGCAAGATTTTCCTCACGCCCTTGCTTGTCTCCAGCCTTAGAAAACTATGAATCCATATTCCATGGTATGTTTTGATTAATCATGCCCTTGGTCATTGACATATATGATTTGGATTTTATGGAGCACCTGAACTTTTACTTTCGTGTTATTTGAAATTTCTGATAATACTTATTCCCTCACTGCCTTCTTCCCAGTTGGATGCCTTTAATGCTATCCTCATTGACCCGTCGGTAAGTCAAGGATGGTTACCTAAGATATCCGTCAGCTCTGGTGAGGGATCGGTCGTAGATATAAACATGTAACACTGGAGAGACCTCTTACGGCAAAGAATTATACCACAAAGCCCCAACTAGGTACTACCACTTATAGGAGTCTTCTTTGCTAGTAGAATGCCCCCACGAGAAGAAAGAATAGTGGGATGCTCACGCTCTCGTTGGACGTGACAGTCAGTTACAGTGGGTAAACTAACGAAGGGAATAGATGCTAACTTGAGAGCACAAAAGTCTGATTTAGCACCAGGGAAGGATTGATTAGGTCATATCTGAGATGCAATACCAGGGTGCTAGTTTGAGACAGAAGACCAGGATACTCAGGTTCAGGTTATTTATTAGATATGTTAGGTTCCATTTGTTGAATTATCACATGAATTTGCTCCATGAACTATGCTCCCTACATGGGGAAGACTAGTTATCATTATAACTTAATCACGGTATCCATGGATAGGAATTCAAACTTAGGTTTTCCATCTAATTTAATCTATAAACAGTTGCGATGTTGAGCAAATTGTCATAATGTGCTTAGGACCTCTGGTAGGGTTTTCAATCGCTAAACTTGTGTAGACATTTCATCCAACTGAGTTTTTGTATTTTGTGTTTGTGGAATGGTATGCTATTGATGCGGTGAACACCAAAATCTCCTCACGACATATTCCTTTTTGAAATTTTTATATTACTTACCTTTGAGAGTAGATCCTATATCGATTTAGGTGGGGTTGAGACATCCTCCATCCTCTCCTCTGATATAGGGATCTGCAATTTTAAAGCATTCTCTGTTAGACAAACGAACTATCCTCTAATGGAGTTTGTTAAAATAGTGTCTCATCTGGACCTTCAACCTATAGCATTGCAGATGTCTTTTTGGGGTTTCACTTCATTCTTCTGCAAATGCAAATTAAAGAGGCATTAGATCCCAGTTTCAGAGCAGAATGGATATATAGGAATCATATAGCCGGCCTCAACTGATTTTGGATTATGGTTTAGTTGATTAATTAGATCATGGATTCAGCTTATGCAGAGATAAACAAACTCTAACTCCGGCTTATCATGTCAAGACCATCGTATTCCTTCTTCTGCTTGTTAGCCTAATTATCTCATCTGGCAGGCGGATTCCTCTAGGTTATATTCTCTTGTCAGTGGACATGGTGGAGTGGAATTAAGCTGTAACGGGTGAGCATTACTAGTTTTATCGCCACCTTATTCTCCAGTGACCTCCCTTATTCAGGCATCACGACTGTTTGATGGCTGACTTTTGGTCTCAAACTAGTATACCATAAACTGGGGAAAAAGAACCGGTATCAGTTTGTTCCTGCACTATTCGTCTGGGATAAACTATTCCAATTTCCAGCATGCATCTGTTTGATTTGATATGGTATTTCTTGTGGTTTATCTTTCTGCTTATATAGAACTTGTTGAAACAACAAATGCTGTATCAGCCAGAATCTATAACTGTCTCTGGTGATGATGACAGACGACCTGAATCAAATATGTGATAAGTGGTATATTAAGTAGATGGAAGTATCTGCCGTGCTCCCCACCTGGTCGGATTTTACTGGGTAGTTGTTGTTGGAAGTATCTGCCGTGCTGAATAACTCTAAGATAATAGTAATTACCACATGGATTAAGAGTTGATACTTATGGCACTTTTACTTACTATTAGGATGGAGGATTGGAAAAACTTCCTTTAAACAGGTTCGAATCTGCTATTTTGTAATGCAGACAATGCATGAAGCAGAGTGTAGCGGAGACTTTAAGGGAATTCAACACACAGCTCTTGGATTTTTCAGGTTAGTAGTGGAAACATGTAGGTAAATATGGATCTCGACCTTGAGAAGAGAGCTTGTTAGTTATTCTAGGTTGGATTTCTGCTTTCAGTATATTATAGATGATTATAGAGGACTTACTGAATTTGTTTAGGTTCCATCAAAGTAGTTCGCTACTATGGCATAGAATAGCGAAGATGTTGCAATTCATTATTCAATCGTTGGATTTGAACAAGTATAACTTGTTTTGGAACTCTGGATGAGCGTGGAATTAGGTTACAATAGGCTACAATTACGAATTAATTGGCATCCGAACAAACCCTAACATAAGTCCTAATTTGTGCTAATAAAGCATTAACCCTAACAGAGGATCAAAGCATAATTCCAAAATCCTTTTCAAACTAGTTACTATTTAACTTTCTTTATATCGTCATGAGATATTTCTTCTGTTGAGCCGAGAGTCTCCCGGAAACAGTCTCTCTACCCTTTTCGGGGTAGGGGTGAGGTCTGCGTACTCTCCCCAGACCCCACAAGTGGGATTATACTGGGTATGTTGTCATATCGTCATGAGATACAGCATTTGACACACAATTTGCTTCATGCTTATAGAAATCTTATAGAGTAACTGAGTGGCAGTGTTAGCATATGAGCCTGTAGGATTTGATTACACTTGATCAAACTGCTCCAAGGAAAGAACAGGAATCAAGTTTTTGACTGGAGTTAAACCCAAGGTTTATCAAGCTTCCTAGATCTTGATGAAGGAGAGTGAGCATAGCACGAGGAAATGATACTAGTGCCCTTTCAACACAAACACCTCCAACAAGGTCTCCATCCCCCTTTATGTCACCAAACCTTCTCATCAATATCCATTGACAACATATCATAGACAGAACTAACTAATGAGTCTCAGATATATTTGCATTGGAAGAAGGTTAACCGTCAATAGTATAAGAACCGAAACATGAAGCAGGGGGAGAAGGCAAAAAGGACAACAAGATAGGCGTCTATTCAGGGATGCGGAGAGACTAGGAATCAGCCAACAACAAATAAGCAGGAATAAGAGGGCAAAAGAGAATAACAAGAAGACAGCAGAACCACGGAAGAAGACAGCAAAAGTACTTGTCAAGTAATTGTAACATAAAGTAAAATGAAATCATTTAACAATCAATTTTCTCAGAAGCTATAGTTGAGGGTAAGCGGTTTATTTAAAAAAGAGGTCAATCTTAGGGGATACTGCAGTTGATTGATGACTCTGTTCCCATCTCTTTGACTGAAAGCTTGCATCATTCAAATTTAGTAGCTTCTAATGATATCACTTAACTTAAAAAAATGAATCATCTTTCAAATTCTGGCCATACAATATCTTTGATTGAGATTTCGATAGAAAAAAATTGAGGGGATAACTAAAACTCACTAGCCAAAATAAAAAATTTAAATAGATAATGTTTCCCATAGAAGTCCACGCGTGGTTGAAGCATAAGAATAATAACCTGAAAATTTCCAACTATAACATTTAGTTTGAGCCTATCCATTCTATCCTGATGAGTTACTCAATATGTATTAATATTTAATGATGTCGAGTAGTAATATCCCACAATGAATTTACAAGGTCATTTAAAAGGGTAAATAGAAAGAATACAACAACAACAAAGTGACAAACAACCTTGTGGGATCCCACAAGTGGGGTCTGAGGAGGGTAGTGTGTACGCAGATTTTACCCCTTACTCTGGGAAGGTAGAGGGAAGGTAGAGAGACTGCTCGAATAGACTTTGGGCTCAGAAAGAAAACTTAATCCATTATCTTAAAGATTTTTAATTGGAAGTTTAGATTCTTTGACATAGAATGAGAGCAGACTTTTCCTAAATCCCTTCTCACAAGGTAGTGAGTAGTATGATGTAACACATCTAGTATACAAGGACATCCAAAAGGGTATATACCCTCGCAATTCTCCACTTATGAAAACAAAAATTAGATTACACGTTGGTGGTGTTTAGGTATATAATTTTGTTCTTACCAATGTGTATGTATGAGTTAAATTCCTGTGTTAAACTAGTTATCTGTGTGCCAAATTAAACTATACATATGATTCTGCCTTTGCAAGTCCATTATTCCATCAAACGAAATTCTATTTAGGCAATTCTGAAGCAAATTTAAATATAATTAAAGAGCTATACCTTGACCTCTGACATAGGATTCATGAGGTTATGATGCTCCTCCTTCATCTTGTTGTATCTATCAATTATAGCCCTCATGCTGGTAATATAGCAAACATATAATTGTGTCAAGAGTTTAACTTCTCACACTAACGTTATGAATTAAACTTTACATTATCAAGCCACCTAAAAGATAATTATTGTAACTAACTATTCATGTATAATAAGCAGGACTAATAAGAAAGGTAATTCGCCACACTACATTAACAGTTTACAAATTTTTTACATTATCAGTGTGTATGAGTTAAATTCATGTGTTAAACTAGTCATCCGCGCCCTATATTAAACTATACGTATGATTCTGCACTGTGAGTCCATATTCCATAAGACGAAATTCTATTTAGGCAATTTCGAAGCAAATATGCACATAATTAAAGTGATCACAACGTAACATGTATGTTAGTTGATCTGAGGGCCACAAAAGAGTGACAAGTTTCTGGATGCAAATAAAGTGTAGAATTAAGGAGCATCCCGTTTAATTTGTTAGTTTACTAGAACAATATATTTTGCAGCATAATAATGTTTGCATTCACTGATGTGGGATTAACTCAATAAGATCAAGGACACGAATTGTATTAAATCTCATATGCTTTGACTCTAGGGAAACTTACACAAATGTCCCATATAAATCTCAACTTACCAACCTCTAGCCATTAGTCATAGACTTACCAAAACTAGCCAACAAAAATTAAAAACCCAAATAATAGGGTTCTTTCTATCAAAGGATCACATGCAAAAATCACCTTCCATATTTTTAAGCGTGATTAGCAACATTAGATACAAGACGGAAAGGAAATTTCATGGACAGGGTAGCAAATAAGGTGATGAAATATAAAAATCTATACAATATTCCAAAAATCTAAACAAAACAGGAACTTTTTCAATGGGTATAGTTGAAATTCATTGAAAATATATAGATAAGTCAATATACAAAATTTGAGGAAGATTGGAGGTGATTTGGACTAGTTTTGTATCAAAATTCTTAATTAAATCGAGTTCAAAAAAGTCTTCTGCGACACATGTATCAAACATGTATCACGCATGTATCTCACACACAGGTATACATGGATATACACGTGATACACAATTGATACAAATATGATACATATGTGATACACAAATGATACACATATCATTTTTTTTCATGTTCAGCTTTTACTTCGAATTTTCAGTTCAAACCACCTCAAAACTTCACCAAATCATCCCAAAAATGAGATTCAAGCTCCTTAAGTTGTGCCCAATCTATTCTAATAACACCCACTCAAAACAAAGCAAAAAATTTGATATTTTTTTGCTACAAATAGCTAATTGGCTAATTTAGCTAATATTAGTAATATTTTATCAATTGGCCAATTTTTGTAATGAGCTACTTATAAATGGACATAGCTAGTAATTTCCCACCCCGGCGGCCGGTCCTCATCATTAAACCAAATGACCAGGGGCCGAGCCAATGAAGAAGTTATAGGTTCATTTGAGCCCAATAACTTGGGCTTAGGCTATTTACATGTGTTAAAAATTCAGCTAATTAAGTGCAAAAATAGATTTTAAATGGATTAGTTACCTCCTATAGCAAAGGTTGATATCTTATTCATTTTAAATAAATACCCTTTTAAAAAATTATATTCCATAGCCACCTTTTGATTTTTTATAGCCAAATATCTATTTATGGTCACCTCCTACCCTTAAGCCATAAAATAAGCTTTGTATTATTTTTCTCTCTCCACTCAAATTTCTCCTATCCCCTCAAATTTCTCTATCCCTACCCCATCTATCCTCCCCCCTCTCTCTCTCTCTCTCTCTCTCTCTCTCTCTCTCTCATCTTCCACCCTTCATCTTACTACCAGAACTCTCTGGCAAAGCATCATAATTAGAGTTTTCCGGCGAAGACTTTTGGGATGCCGAGCAATCATCCGATATAGAAATTTTCTACGGCGTAATAATGGCAATCGGAGGCAACAGTGACGGCGAGACGACATTAGGGCTGTTCTTGAACAAAGACGACGGAGTTTGGGCTGAGCACTTGAATTTTCTGTTAATATATTTCAATGTATTTCAATTTATCTCGCTGTATTTCCATGTATTTCATTGTATTCATTGTCTTTTTTTTCCATTGTATTTCGATGTATCTCGCTATATTTTATGTATTTCATTATATTTGCTGTCTCGTTGTATTCCATCAATGTAGTCATATATTTTTTAATTAATATAATTTATGTATTCAGATGTATATATGTATTCAAATTGCTCTGTTTTTTTGTATTTATCGGCTGGAAAAATTTTCAGCATATTTTCTCTGAAGATTGGTATGTTTTTTGGGGTGTTTTTCGGTTGAGAATCTTTTTTATAACTGGAAATACAAATTTTGTGTGTAAAATTGAGTTTGTTGAGTTATATTAGGAGTCTATTATGTTAATTGATTCACTTTCCGTTTAAAAACAGCTGAATAGACCATGAATTGCGCTATTTACGTTACTGTATTCACAAATACATATCGTGAATACAGTCGAATACAATAATCTGTCTAGCTGTAATCCTCTGTTTCACGCCGTGAATACAGTCGCATACAAAAATCTGTTTAGCTGTAATCCCCTGTTTCACGCCTAGAAATGCTATGTATTCATGAATACAGTAGTTTAAATACATCTAATACACTCTAAAAAATCTGAAAACATAGCTATAGGAAGTAATATAGTAAATGGTAGATACAACTAGCTAATAACCACTAAGACATAGTGGTTTGTCTCATTTTAAATCTAGTAAATTAGACGCGATATGGTAGAATTTCGAATTTGAACCCATAAAGTTTAAATCCTGGATCCGCCTCTGCAAATGACACCTTAGGGTTTATGTGAAGAGTACTGAAGAGAGAACAACAATATTAGAAGTTATTTCTTACTTGCACCAAATAGAATACAATAGAGATAGTTATCACTGCAGAGCTTTAAACCAAATTCTAAAGTGCGGTTTGTAAATATTACTACTCCTATTAATCGTTCACATTTGGAAAATAATTTCCAGAAAAACATGATTTTTCACAGAGATTGGCTTCTATCATATCAAAAACACAAAATTACTTTATGTAAGAAAACCAATAAATAATTAGTATTCTGATAGGGTAATTAGATACTAGCTTCAACTGTTCAACAAAATGATGCTTAGTCCCTCACCAGCAAAATAAGGCATTTAGGAGTCTCACATCTACTATATATTCTTTCCTTCTGGTTCCTTTTTTGAGGAGTACTATCGAAAACTTTAAATTAGGGCCACGGAGAGCAATTACACCTTAATTTACCCATCTAAACTTCACAGATATTCAAGTTCTATACTAGGGGATAATTAACTCAGACTGTGTAGGCTATATATAGCTTACATTATATTGTCGGTCCCAAGTTTGGAGAAATGGGAGAGTAGCGGTAGGCTGGCAGCCAGCGTAAAATTTGCTAATTCATGATAAATCGTCATAATACATATATGTTCATGATATATATGAGCTGAGCCTAAAAAAAGTAGTGAGGCTTAATATAGTCGATCCCAAATTATTGGGACGGAGACGACGTTGTTGTTGTTGTTGTTATAGAGGATGAGTAGGCTGCTTTAAGGTTTAAATTTCACATGCAAACTGATACTGGACTCTCTCTTCACTGAGGTATAATTTTCACTACAATAGCCTGTAATTTTCTTTAGAATTGCTGCATGTTGTTCCTCGAGTCATTTTCTCAACATTAGGTTTGTATAGAATGGGCCAGGCAAGATAAAATACCTCGTGCATGACAGCCAAATTTAATCGCTGGATTAAAAAGCAAAGCTAGTTTAAGATTTCTCTCAATATTTGAAAAACAAAAACTGAAAAAACAAGAGAAATTATCGTAGCATGCATTTATAAAATATGCACGTTGGAATCTTGATGCAGTAACATCGGTTAATCCACGATCGCATCCGACTACTTTTTTTCCACATACGAAGTACAAACTGGAAAAGTACCAACTTGGTAATTTTATAAATAAAAAATAGCAGTAAATGGAAAGGTACCAAGTTGGTAATTTTTAAACAAAAAAATTACAAAAAACGATAAGAAAGAAATACATGAATATATGAAATAGAGGCAGTTCTACAGCAGGAAAAAATCCCATATTTCAGTCCAAACTTTTCCCAAAGAAAAGGAAGAATACAAAAATTATATATCTCTAAGTTTAGGACCAAACTAAAATTAAAGAGGGGTAGAAATTAAATATGTAAAAATAACTAACCTGTTGCTGGAAAATTCATAGTGTTTTCCAGTACTGGAGAAAATAATGAGTCCAACTTCAGCATCACAAAGGATTGCTAGCTCTTTAGCCTTCTTGAGCAGTCCATTTCTTCTCTTTGAGAAAGTCACTTGCCTGCTTGTTGTATTGTCAATCCTTTGAATCACAATTTTTCCTCTCCCCATCTCTTCTAATTTTAATATATACTTTGATACTAATTATATTTACTTTAGTTCGAGCTTGCTTCTTTCCTCTGCAAAATCAATGAAAAGGGTCAGAATATATAGCTCATAATGATTAACCTATATAAAACATGAAATTAATTAAAAGGTAGAAGTATATATACGAAGAAATTATCGATATAGCTCGAGCTAAAATTAGAAAGCATTTGAGCTATCAAGAAAATACTAGATTAAAATACATCCATAATTAATTTGAGAATCTGATAAAATATACCCAACTTGTTTGGAATTGAGACATAGTAATTATTACTATTGTAATATGATAAAACAACAAATGGGCAAAAGAAGAAGAGAAAACAAAGAAGCTAATAATTTTGAGATTTTGTAGGAAATTAGATAGAGTTGCATTTTTTCTTAATTATATCTAGGGTTTTGACCTTGTTTCTCTCCTCTCCTAGATCAATCAAAAGGGATCAAAAAAGAACTAGAATATTAACAAGAAGCTAATGAATTTGTTTTTTGAAGAAATTAATCATCGGTAGCTTGAGCTAAAATTAGAAAGTTTTATGAACAATCAAGAACCACAAAAATAGAAAGAAATTCAAAATTATATGAATTTGACAAAAAAAAAAAAAGTAAATAGAAGACAAAAGTAAAAGAAGGACAAGAGCAGCTTACTAATTTGAGAGATTTTGATAGTTGATTAGGGAGAGAGAAGAGAAATAGTGGTTTAGTTCTTTTCTTAAAAGAACGATTAATTGAAAGCTTTATATGGAAAGCTTAGCTAAATGATGGTTTTCTTTTTTAAGAGAAACCAGGAACTTGTTTTCTAAAAACCTTAAAACCACTTTAGCAATTTATCTTCCCCACTCTCGCGAGTGATTAATAATAGTTTCACTCGCCGACACCTGTCTAGACAGATCATTACAACTGCTTTGACGCCTAATAGTACGGGTATAAGGATCTGCCAAATTTACAGATTTGCCACTTAGTGACAGCTTTCGAGAATAAAGAGCGAGTAAAGTCAGTACTGTACTCGAGAGAATGGGCTTAATTGGTATCCTCGGAGTCTCAGAACGCTTTTGATTGAAGAAATGGTTGAAATGTTTGTAGAATTTTTAGGTCGTTAGGACGTATAGATGACTGAAAGGTGTCGACATAGCAATGGCTTTTGACCATTTTGGGGGTCGTTTCATTGTTCATTGACCTTTTAGTACTACTTGTGACATGTCTAAATTTTACCAAAGTGGCCGTAACGCCGATAAGTACTCCTTCTCTTTAATTATAGATTTTAGGTTCGAGCCAGGGATATAGAATTGCATGTATTAGGGAAAGTCTTACCCTCCAATGTGGTTTTGTGATGAATTCGAATTTGATTGGGCTCAAATACAGATGCCATACACCGAAAGAGAAACCAAACAACAAACATGTCCAAACTATATTAATGCTCGAGTCTTTCTCAATTGACTAATCAACCCACCCTTAGTATTATTTCCGATTTGTAACATCTTTAACCTTTTCATTCATTGTGTATGGTTGCTCAATATGGTCAGAGATTTCTCACCTTTTCCATCTTTTGCTATTGGAAAAACTGTTTGACCAAAAAGTATTAAACTTTTTTTGTTAAACTAATTAAATAAGAAGATAATGGGTAAATCCTAACTAAACATAATAAGTTCTAGATCTGAAACATGTTTGTACAAATACGTAGGATTGCGTTAAAACCAATTTAATACAATGTGTATTAAATGATGCTATTATGAATGAGTGGGAATAATGATAAGCAATAAATATGTTAAATGGCAATAAATGTAATAAAGAGAATAATTCACCCTATACTGAATGAGGTGGATGATTCCTCTTTCTAACAATGATGTAAGATAAATGAATATGAGAATATATGAAGATTTCTCGGATCTGATGCGTGAAGTATGGAATAGACAATAAATCGAATCTCTTTACATTTGAGTGTCAACTTTTCAAGTGCGCTCTTATCACCTAGAATATTACCTGCCCTTTTCTTCTCTCTACCTTTCTATTTATATGGGACATATCCCTTACCTAACATAAAGTGCAAGTGCAGAGAATATTCAATAGAATATTCCCCTAAAATGTTTTGCTACAAAACTAGCCTTATGGCCGGGCTGAGTATTTGACCTCAGCCCCGGTTACTCAGCTCACCAATGGATCCTCCCATCTTGAGTACGACCTCGGCCTAATCGTCTCTTAGTAATCTGTCTTTGAGCAAGATTCCCTTGGTCAGATTTCGACCCATACAGTTAGTCCCTCCGCTCGTCGGGGTTGTTTTTTGGACGAGCTCGATGGGCGGACTTCGCCAGTTGCAACGTGAGAAATCTGGGCGTGCAGACGGATTAGTAACCTTTTTATGGTGAGGTTACAATGTGGCGCTTCGAGAGCCACATTTGACCATTACGTCAGTTTGAAATGACATCATTTCATCGTGCGTCATTATGGAGCATGTTCCCGATACATTACATCATTTCCCGCGCCTCTTCTGTTTCAAAATCAATGTGGCAGCGCTTGGATTTCTCGATTAGGGTGCCAGTATTCTTATAAATAGGGACGGGAACCTCCCATTTGATTTGTTGCATTTCTAAGTATTTGAATCTTCAAGCTTTCTCCTCTCCTCAGAGTTCTTGCATCCTTATTTCTCCCTATTATAGCGCTTTCTGCTCTTATCACCCCTTTCGTATCTGCAATTTCTTCCCATTTGCGCAACAAGAATGGTCAGTGATTCTTATAACACGGAGGGAGCTTCTGATTCGGTTCCATCGAGGGTGGACATGCCTCCTCACGATGAAGGAGAAACCATGGCTGCAGAAGATGAGAGTTTCCGTACTGTGGACGAAATAATTCCACGCTCAAAAAGGGCCATGTCTGACTTCTCAAAGCGACCTGAAGATTATCCCGAGCCTGCTATCTCTGAGATGGATGCAGCGGCTCTTGTTGAATTTAGGGCCAAATGGCGAATCCCGGACCATATCAACCTCATCCCGGCTGGTGACGACGTGGTACAAATTCATCGCCCAGGATATTGTGCATTCTACGCGTATTCATTCGTCGTTGGCTATTTGCTTCCTCTTCCTTCTTTGGCGGAGGACTTCTACCGCTAGTATGGCGTCCGCCCGGCCCAGTTCTCCTCGTACATCTATAAGTTTTTCTTTATGCTGATAAAGTACGCGGAGCTACCCAACCGCGGGATCACTCTCTATCATCTAATTTATCTCTTCGCCCCAAGCTTTCACAGGGGTACGATGATACACCTTCGCCATCGAGGGACCAAGGGACTGGTGGTGAAGATGGGCGATAAGACAAATCATCCTTTTTGGGTTAAATTCTTCTACATTAAGATAGAGCACGTGGTGTCGAACCCTAACGGATTTCCCGAGGAGTGGAACTTTGCTCGTAAGTATTTTCGCAAACTGGCTACTCGCTGTTGCTCTTTGGTGACTTAATCGTTATTCACCTTTTCTTTTTTTATATGCAGTTGAGAAATCTCCTCTTTTGTTGGTTGCCGATATCCGCGACTGGGTGAGCCAAATTTTACCTCACACGGTGGGGATCCGTGAGTGGTCACAGTTCAATAAGAAGTTTGGACGTAAGCCTTCTTCGACCGGTGAGTCATCTTGTTTCGATCTTAGTAGCCTCGACCTTCGCACCGTCTTCTTTTTTATACTTAGTCTTTCTTTGTTGATAGGTCGGAGGGCTCCGAGGAGGGCAATGGCTCCTACTCCCTCTTTTCGTCAGTCAATTGCCTCGACTGGGTCTCTACTCGCTGCGACTGCAGGCGAATCCGCTCCGATTGCTGTTCCTTTCCGGACCCCGGCCTCGCGTAGGCCTCGCCGTCATGCTGCTGCCCCAGCAGCGAAGATTCCAGCTTCTCTAGTATTGCGTTTAGTGGATGAGTCACGTAGGGCGAGGAGGAAGAGGCTCCGCTAAAAAGGCGGAGAATAGAGGTTGGCGATGGAGCGACAAAGAACGAAGGTCCAACAGAGGGTGATCCCGAGCCGACAACGGCCGAACCAGAGGGCGGCATGGCTTTGGACGGAGAGATTGTGCCCCCTTCAAATGTGGAGATTGCTTCCGTGGAAGGAGGGGGCGATCAGAGGCAGCTGCAATCATTTCGAGGAGTGATCCGTCATCGTCAGAGCGGGATGACGTTCCTTCCTCAACTGAGGAGAGGGGAAAGGAGTGGCCATATATGATTATGGATCCGGCTCCGACGTCCACCCCGAAGAAGAGAGGATATTCGACGAAGGGTTTACTCAGGTCGAGGTGAGAACGGATAGATCATCTCGTTCGATAGTCACCCTCTTGACTGCGACTTGTTGACTGACATGGAGAGCATGGTCCCTTCTTTGGTCCTTCTTTGCTCTGGCGCCGAGAACAGGACTCTACAATCACTTAGGGATGCTGATCTGTCGTTAGGCATGTATGGGATAGCTCTGAGGGTGAGTTTTCCTCCTTGTTGTTTTTGTACTTTGCATCCTTCCCCCTTTCTTTCTTTATTGACTCTTTTCGGCTCTTCCTTTTTTTAGACTCTCATTTTGGAGATCGAGAGCACCCGCCGAGAGGATAAGCGGAAGATTTTATTCAAGAAAATGGTTTTGAAGTACCGCAGGTATCGCAACAAGTATCATGAGATGCGTGTCCGGCTCAGTGTGGGCGGTAACCTCCTGTCCCTTAGAGATGAGTTGGGGCAGAAGGATGATGAGCTTGTGCGGGTCATCGCCAGATGCAGTGAGCTTGAGGGGGCGCTTAGAGCCAAGGAAGACAAACTCGAGGTGAGTAAAGGGGTCTGGTTGAGTGTGTCGACCTTCAAGTGCAAGTGGCGCCCCTGCCGGCCGAGCTTGAGCAATGCTCGATCAGAGCTGTCGGCTTAAGTGATGAGTTGATCGGGAAGGTGGAAGGGTTGGAGAGGACCGATGAGGCCAGGGTAGCGGCTTTGGCGAATGTGACGACATTAGAGGACTCCATCCGTGTCCTTAGATCTGAGCAGGCAAATGATGCGAAAACGGCCGTGCTCCGGGAGGCAAAACTTGATGAGTGAATTGGTGGGCTCGAGAGGGATGTTTCAAGCCTTAGTGATCAAATTGCTGCTATCGAGGCCGAGAAGGCTCGACTGTTGGCCCGACCGTCCTCCTCTCATACTTCTGCTTTCCCTGATGTTCCGCGACACTTATACAAGATGTGGATCCACGCCGAGGCTCAGCTAGACATATATAGGAATTTGATGATGGCGGGGAAGGTTCCTGAGGCTGATTTTGGATATGCTCGTGTTAAGGTGCGTGCGACCAGAGTCTGTTGTGGTTATGACCCAGCTACTCCGGAGACCGGCGATGGCGAGGAAGAGGAATTGGACGAGCTTGAGCAGGATGCCTGGTACGAGGACGAATATCCTCAATGCAATGGGGAAGATGGCACTGTTGGGCCGGGTGGTGAAGGTGACGGTGACGAAGGCGGGGACGATGTCGAGCAATGCTTTGAACTTAGTTTTTGTTTTCTCTTCTTCTTTTTTTGTGTGGGCATCTTTCTAGCCCTTTGTATGATACTTTTTTTAATGGAATGATCGTAACCATTTGTTTTATATTAATGGGTCTTTTATTTTTCTTCGAATGTTTTTCAAATAGTTGCTTTAGAAGGATTGCGTCCGTATGTGTTATCTCGAGCATGGTCGAGTATATACCTGATTGAATCTGGGTGAAGTTTTATGTCATCGTAATTAACTCAAACAAAGTTAGC